CTCGCAGTTCATGGAGGCTGCGAGGCAACACATGGCCAATCTCCAGAGGGCATCGAGAGCCGAAGCAGCTAGAGCTTGGCGTGAGTGGGCCCAGGCGGCGGTTCTTAACGGTGGCAGCTGCGCCTTTCGCTTCGTCCGTGATACTATGCAGCCCTCTGTCATGGAGACGGCGGCAGAAGCCAGCGCTCCTTCGCTTCCTGTGGCAGGCCAAGAGGCCCTTGAGTTGATCATGCAGACCTGGACTCCACTCTGGGTCAACGTTGAGCGGGAGTGCGAGCCGCACCCTGCGTCTTGGGAGCTCTCACGGCCCTCTACTGGGGACGCGGATGCTGGTGGAAGCATGTGCCCGCGGGGGGCCCTCCCGAGGCCCGAGGGCGGCGGAACGCCGATTGGAAGGCTTGACGCGTACGCCGAGCTCCCATCAATCACTCTTGAGCAGCTCGACCGAGTGCTCCAGAGTTACCCCGCCAACGCAGGATTGGGGCGGGATAAGTTTCACCCCAGACAGATGACATATCTCCCAGTCTCGTACCGGCAGGCTTTCCTGGACATCCTGCATGCGTGGGAGAGAGCGCCAGAAGATCAGAATCTCTGGGCGCTTCTGGTCTTCTTTTTAAGCAAGCCCAATCCCCCAGGGGGTGTGAGACCCATCGTCCTGTTCTCCCTCTGGACTCGGGCGTGGTCGAGGTGTCGTCAGGTCGTTGCGCGTCGTTGGGGGAAGTCTCTGGCGAATGCCGCCTTCTTGGGAGATGCGGGGCACACCTGTGACAGGTCAGGACTAGCGCACAATGTGCTTCAGCGTTTCGCTCGTCTGAAGGGGTTGTCGGCTGCCAGTGGGCTGCTGGACCTCTCGAAATATTATGAATGTATCTCACATGAGGAGCTCAGAAGGGAAGCCATCAACACTGGTTTTCCGCTAGCCCTCCTTCGCAGCCTCTGCTCGGCGTATAGGCTTCCTCGGCGGGCTGTCTGGCAGGGAGCAGTTGCGCCTGCGGTGGAGGCCAACGGGACTGTCGCTGCGGGGTGCAGCTGCGCGTTGGCGCTGGCAAAGCTGCTGGTGCACACGCTACTCGTGAAGTTGCAAGCCAGGTTCCCCGCGGTGCGGTTTCAAAACCTCGTGGACGATTTTTTGCTCCAGGCGCTCGGCACGCTGAGCAGGTTCTTTCCCAGCTTCCTGAGGCCATGATGGCCTTGGTCCGAGGGCTCCAGGAGAAACAGCTGCGGGTCAACTGAGATAAGACTGGCTATTTAACATCCTCTGCAGAGCTGGCAGTACAGCTCAACGCTAGGTGGTCTCGGCGATGAGGATCGGCTCATCGGGACCAGGTGATTGGGCACCGATGCTAATGACGGGTCGGCTCGGAGGGTGGGGGAGCAAGATAAGCGAATCGCCGAGGCCAAGAGAGTCTCGGCGAGAGTTCAGCAGCTCAGAGCTGCAGGCGCTGCTGTCAGCACTATTCAGAGGGGGTCTCATACGGCGACGGCGGCGTGGGGGAGTGCGGCCATTGGTCTGTCAGACCACAAGTTACATTGGTTGAGAGTGTCGGCCCTTCGTGCGGAGGGCCGCCTCCCTGCAGGCACCTCGGTAGGCCTTCGATTGCGCGTGTCCCCTAGAGGCTCTTTCAGGGACCCTTGGGTTGTGCATGCTGTGGAAGTGACGAAGCAGTGGGCTCTTTCGGCCGCTCGGAGCTGCCAGGGCGTGGCCCCATGCAGGGTTGCTGGGAGACTGGTAAGGACCTCCTCGGCAAAGCCAAGCCCTGGGCGCATTGTATCGATCCCAGTCAGGTTGTGCTGCTTTGCATGGCGCGCATTGGCATTGCTATGCCCACGGCCTTCTCGTTGGTCTTCCAGGGCCTCGAGTATTCCATGCTGGAATTCACGCCAGGTTTTATAGCGGAGCGTGCGAAGGAAGCTGCGCTGGTTTCCGCAGACGTTCTTGCTCCGACTAGAATTGAAAAAGGGGTGGCGGGGGGCTCTGCACTGGGGGCCTCTCAACCACCTCCCCTCTCGCAGTGTCACGGACACCTGGACGCCGCATCACAAGGCGGCGCTGCGGAGCTTGGTGGGTGGATCCCACTGGCCACAAGCGCGGCTCTTTAGGCATGGCAAGGCCCAGCATGGTCGATGCTTGATCTGTGGAGGACAGGGCACACTGTTTCATCGGTTTTACGACTGCCCGTGCATCGAGGTTCACAGGCGTGAGGAATGCCCGCCACACGCGCGGACAGCTGCCAGAAAAGTGAGCTCACTGGCACCAGAGGTGGTGGACATGTTTGCTCGATGTCTGTTCCCGTCACCAGCCCGTTGCTTTCCTATTCAGGAGGCCAACCTTGAGGACCAGTTGATTTGGATTGGGGCCCCCGAGGGCTGGAAGTTGTCGGGGAAAGTTTTCGTTGACGGCAGCGCGTTCAACTCTCGGTTTTCTGGACTCTCTCGAGCTGGGTGGTCCATTGTCCAGATTAACGAGAGCGGGCGCCTGGTTGCAGGCGCCTTTGGAGTCGTTCCCCTCAGCTACGCGCCCAACCAAATGGCGCGAGATGGAGAGGATAGAGCCTTTCAGGTCTTGGCTGAATACTCGGAGTGGAATGCTGAAGGCCCCCTCACTGTTTACTCAGATTGCGCGGGTTCGATTGAGCGCGCGGTGAATCCAGGCGTGGCGCTCGACCCCATGAATTCTAGAGGGCATTTTTGGGTCCGCTGGTGGGAGGGGATCGGCCACCAGGCGACAGTTGCCAAGGTCAAGGCGCATCGCGCGCGCTCCTCGGCCACCAGCTTTGAAGATGATTGGCTGGTCCTCGGCAATCAGATGGCGGACCGCTGGGCGAAAAAAAAGGTGCCTTGAGGTGGTTCCCCCCCCCCCCCCCCCCCCCCCCCCCCCCCCCCCCCACACACACACACACACACACCACCCACCCCACCCCCCCCCCCACCCCCACACCCCCACCCACCCCACCCCCACACGGCAGTGCGCCTTTGTACAGGGGGCCGAGGCCATGGCCCACGATGTCTCGAGATGGCATGCGAGGGCCCAACAGTTGATGGTTGATGGGGGTTCGTTGACTCCGAGGGGGTTGCTGGGACCTCGGATATCACGTTCGAGCTCAGCCCTTTCGAGTGGAAGTGCCTGGCCAATGCGGCTTGTGAGGAGGGGGTGGAGCCGTTCGCGGCTGTCCCAGGCGTGGTTCCTGTCAGGGGAGCTGCGTCCTCGGCCCCCTTGCCGCCTCCTCCGCCGCCGCCGCCCCCTCGTTCCTCCCCTTCTGCTGCTGCTGCGGGAGGGGAGGAGGGCCCAGATCTTCAGGAGTGCTCTGGGACGCCTTGGGCTCTCAATAGTCACTCGGTCGCCAAGGCGTCGGTCGTGCCCCTGACCGAAGGGGCAGAGCCCGAGCCAGATGTTTTATTTTGTAAAATGTGTGGGTCCTCGGTGCACGAGGTTGTTCGGTCGGGCGAGGGGCTGGACGGGGTGTGTCGTGGGAGGGGGGCACATGGTCTGCGGACTCAGCGTTCCCTTCTCCGCCGAGGGCTCATGCCAGGACGCCTTGAGGCGCGGATCGCGGACGTCCGCGCCCCCACAGGCGACGACATCGAGGCCTGCCCCCCCCCCCCCGCCCCCCCTCCCTCGCTGGAGGCGCGTGGGGGCAGGGGGCAGGAAGTGGGGACGTTCAGTCGATGCGTGCTCCTACGGCCTTCGAGGTCAAGTACGGCACCAACGTGCCGCAGCTAGACGATAGAGAGGTCGCTTCGTTGCACGGTTTTGATTCCCCCTCGGCCGTGGTGGACTTTTCCAGGTGCCTGGGGAGGGGGAGCCCGAGTTTTATGAGGAGCTTGCCGAGTGGTAGGCCTGACGCTCTGCGGAGAGGGGGCCCTGCCCCATGTAGCCAGCGCACTCAGCACACCTCATCTTCATCATCAGCAGCATCAGCAGCATCATCATCCTCCTCCTCCTCCTCCTCCTCCTCCTCTTCCTCTTCCTCGTCCTCCTCCTCCTCCTCCTCCTCCTCCTCCTCCATCCTCCTCCACCTCCTCCTCCTAATCGTCCTCCTACTTATCATCCTCCTTTCCCTCCTCTTCCTCCTCCTCCTCCTCCTTTTCCTCCTCCTCCTCCTCCTCCTCCTCCTCCTTCTCCTCCTCATCATTTTCCTCCTTCTCCTTCTCCTCCTCAGCATCATCATCATCACCATCATCATCAGCATCAGCATCATCATCATCATCAGCATCAACATCAGCATCATCATCAGCATCATCGACATCATCATCGTCATCATCATCAGCAGCAGCAGCAGCATCCTCGTCCTCCTCCTCCTCCCTCTTGCTCCTCCTCCCCCTCGTCATCCTCCTCCTCATCATCATCAGCAGCAGCATCATCATCATCGGCAGCATCATCATCATCAGCAGCATCTTCATATTTATCTTCATATTCATCTTCATCATCTTTTGCAACAGCAGCATCATCAGCAACAGCATCCTCCTCGTCCTCCTCCTCCTCCTCCTCCTCCTCCTCCTCCTCCCCCTCCCCCTCCTCCTCCTCATCCTCCTCCTCCTCCTCCTCGTCTTCCTCATCATCATCAGCATCATCATCAGCATCACCAGCATCAGCATCATCATCATCATCATCATCACCATCATTCATCATCATCATCATCATCATCATCATCATCATCATCATCATCATCGTCCTCCTCGTCCTCCTCCTCCTCCGCCTCCTCTTCCTCCTCCTCCTCCTCCTCCTCCTCTCCTCCTCCTCCTCCTCCTCCTCCTCCTCCTCCTCCTCCTCCTCCTCCTCCTCCTCCTCCTCCCTCCTCCTCCTCCTCCTCCTCCTCCTCCTCCTCCTCCTCCTCCCCCTCACCCTCCTCCTCCTCCTCTTTCCCTATCCTCCCTCCTCGGCCGCGCCAGCCTGGGCTCCGCACATGCTACCAGCCGCGCCAGCTCCGCCGGCGGCAGCGGTCGGCGGCGGCCCGGCGGCGCGGGCGGGCGCCGCGGGAGCGGAGCGCGCCGCCGGGGAGGCCGCGGGCGCCCCGCTGGCCTTCGCCGCGACTTTTTCGCTGGAGCCGCTGCGGCGCTGGGTGGGAGCCTGGCTCGCGGAGCTGGGCCAGGCGGGCCTCGAGGAGGGAAAAGTCGGCGACAAGCCCCCAAGAGGCCCCCAAGAGGTCCTCAAGAGGCCCCCGCGAGGCCTCGAGAGGCCGAAAAGAGGCCCCAAGAGGCTCCAAAGCAGCCCCCGAGATCGGCGGCGAGCCCAGGGGGGGAAGTGAGAAGCGGCGGGCCTTCTCAGAAGGCTCGGAAAGCCTCGGGCCTTCTGAGAAATTTGCCAAGCTTTCCGAAGGCACGAAACAGTTTCTCAGAGGGCTGGAGGGCTTCTGAGAAGTCCTGCCGCCTTCTGAGAAGACCTGCCCCTTCTCACTTCCCCCCGGGCACGCCGTTTCAAAGAGGCTTGAACCCAGCTGGCTGCCTGAGGTGGACCCGCACTGGTTCCAGCCAGCAGGAAGGGGGCGCAGGTTCGAGGTGCTGGGTTCGACAAGTTTGTATTTTTCAGTCTCCAGGGGCCGTTTGGGGGGCCCAGGACCGTCAGAAACGGATCCGGGAAAAAATCTGCACCAGATGGACCCTGGGAGGGGTCCAGGAACCGATGTTGGGCGAATTTGTCTTCATTCTCCCTCTTGACTGCGTTTCCCTGGCCCACACCAGCTCGGTTCCCCTGCCACGCCTCCTCCAAGACACTGTTTCTTCCAGATTCGGGCAGGTTTCCTTGCAAGGCGCTTGCCCCCGCCCACGTCCGCCGCCGCCTTTTCAAACAGCACGGGGCCGAAAGAGGCGTGCAAGGGAGTTCCGACTTGCCCGAAGTCCAGATTTCCTGTCGGGCCTCGCCACGCCCCCCCACCCGCCCCCCGCCTCCATGCAAGCAAACTTGCCAGAATCCAGAAACAAATGTCTCAAGTCAGACAAGGGCGAGTTGAGACAACGGTAGTTGGCCTTCGGGGGGGGCCCTCGCAGCCACGGCTGGACGCAGCTCGGGAAACTTGTGCGTTTGGGCCCCTGGAGGGGTCTGGGGACCGATTTTGAGTTGCCATTGTCTCAACTCGCCCTGCGAAAAAGGCATTGGTCAGAGGAGGAAACCCACACCCCTTGGCGTCGTGAAAAGATCACGGCGAGTGATGTTTTTTTCTACTGTCGGCCTCTTGGGGCCCTTGCCTGGCACTGGGACCGTCAAAAATGACTCATGATGAAAAGCTGGCATACAGGCTTGACCTTGACCTTGAAAAGCTGGTCCCGGGAAATGGGTCGGATCTTCCAGATACCCCGTATTGAAAAATCAAGGCATCGGATCTCTGGGAACAAACTGCTACTGTGCCTTCCCTCGTTTTCGTCATCGGATCTCTTGGGAAGGTACCGATACTGCCACGCCTTCCGTCGTTTTCGCCCTGTTTGGGCCTCCTGGGAGGCCCTTGCGGCCACGGCTGGATTCGCCTCGAAACTCTGGGCCAGACCGCACCCCTGGAGAGGTCCGGGGTAGCGGTATCCGTACTTCGGCTGGCGGCGCCCACATGGTGGTCGCGCGAGGGGGGGGGGGGGCGGGGCGGCCTTCTGTGAAGGCGGGGGGGGCTTCCAAGGAGGCGAGCGGCTTCTCAGAGGCCCCCCCAGGCTTTTGGGAGGCTTTCTGAGAAGCCGCCGGGCCCTCCTCAGAAGCCCATCTCGCGCCACCCCCTCACCGGGCGGGGCTGGGCACTCATCTCAGCCCATCTCCGCAATCTTCCCAGAGCGTTCCGGCACGCTCTCAGAGCGTTCCGCAGCGCTCTGAGAAAGCCGCGGCGCCCGAGACGTCCCCCAGAGCCGCCAGTTCTCCGAGATCCCCGAGTTGTCCTGGTCCGAGATTGTCCTGGTCCTGGCTTCGACTTACCTCGTGGGCGCCTCCAGCTGCGGGTCCACCCCCGAGGCGCGGCCCCTGCGCCTCGCGGGCTACGGCCAGCTGCTGCAGGAGCTCCGGGCCCCGGACGCCTTCCGCGGGGCTGCCGCGTGCGTGGGCCTGCTGAGCTTCGCGGACTGGCAGCGGGCAGGCGCCGGCTGCGCCGCGGGCTTCGACGCGGCGCGCTTCCGCACTGACCTGCGGCTGCTGCTGGAGAGCGTGGAGTCGGCGCTGGAGTGGTGCTCGGCCACGCGCAGAGGAGGGTAGGGGGAGGCGGGAAGGCGTCTTAGAAGGAGGCTGCTTCTCAGAAGGCGCAGGCCTTACATCTCTAGATGCAAGGCCGACGCCTTCTGAGAAGCAGCCTCTTTCCTAGGAAGCCCTTGTGGGCGCCCAGGTGCCCCGGGCTCCTGCTGGTGGTCTGCCCGGCTCGCCCCGCCGCCGCGGCTGGGCCGGAGCGCCCGCGGCTCTTCGCGGAGGGCCTGGAGCAGTTGCAGCAGCTCTCGCAGCAGCAGCCGCGGCTGCGCGTGCTGTCCCCCTCCGAGCTCGCGGCGTGGTACCCGGTCGAGGACCCCCACGACGTCATGGCCGATTCCTTAGGGCACGTGCCCTACACCGAGCCCATGTGGTGCGCACTGGGGGCTGCAGCGGTGCGGATGCTGCTTCCCGCGCTGGCTCCGCCACTGAAGGCCGTGGTGGTCGACTGCGACTACACGCTGTGGCACGGTGCGGTCGCCGAGGTGGGCCCCGCAGGCCTCGTGTGCGGCCCGCGCCACCTGGAACTCCAGGAGCGCCTGCTCGCGCTGCGGTCGACTGGCGTGCTCTTGTGCCTGTGCTCGCGCAACGCCGAGGCGGACGTGTGGGAGGCGCTGGAGAACGGGGAGATGCTGCTCCGGCGGGAGCACGTGACCCGCGCCTGGCTGGAGGTCGGCGGCGCGCCCAAGTCGCGCGGCTTGCTCGAGATGGCCGGGGAGCTGCACGTGGCGCCGGAGAGTGTGCTGTTCGTCGACGACAATCCAGCCGAGTGCGCCGAGGTGCGCGCTGCGCTGCCCGAGGTGCCGGTGTGGTGCGTGCCGCAGCGGCACGCCGAGTTCCGGCAGCAGCTGAGCCACGTGTGGCGGCTCGACGTCGGCAGCGCCGCTGCGGCGGGATCGGAGGGCGGCCGCCGCGCGGACTTCTACAGGCAGGACGCAGACCGGCGTGCGCTGCGGGCGGGCGCCGCCTCGCTGTCGGAGTTCCACAGGCAGCTGCAGGTGAAAATAGCCTTCCAGGACCTTGGAGACGGCTGGGGGTCTGAGATGGCCCAACATTGGAACCGGCAAGCAGGAAAAGGGTGCAGGTTCGAGGTGTTGGGTTCGAGAGGGTGGTTTGCCTTTTTCTGCCTTTGGGAGCCGTTTTCGGCCCCAGGACCGTCAAAAACGGATCCGGGGTGAAAGATTGCACCAGATGGACCGTGGGAGGGATCTGGAGATTGATTTTGAGCGAATTTGCCTTCATCCACCCCCCCTCTGGACCGATCGTATCGGGCCACAGCCAGCTCAGACCCCCCAGCCGCCTCCAACCAGGACCACAGCCAGGCGTCGTCGAGCTCCCGGGAGCGCTTCCTGCAGCTGCACGAGCGCACCAACCAGTTCAACGCCTGGAAGAGGTGCCCCGTGCCTCCCGACGCGGTGGAGCGCTGCGAGGGGCTTCTCATGACGGTGGAGGACAGGTACGGGGACTACGGCCTCGTGGGCGCAGCACTGTGCCAAAGGCGAGGAGATCGCTTGGCGGTCATCAGCTTCACAATGTCTTGTCGCGTGCTGGGGCGCGGCGCCGAGCATGCTTTGTTGGCTGAGCTGGGCAGGCTAGCGCTGCGGCCGCCGCGGTGCCGCGTCGTGGCCGTCGGCACCGCGCGCGCGGCGCGCAACCAGCCAGTGCTCCGCTTCCTGCAGCGGGCCTCGAACTCGCTGGCGGATGATGCGCAGCGCGCAGGGTGCGCGGCCGAGACAGGCGAGCTCGCTGCCAGCGGCAGCGGCCTCTGGGAGCACGAACTCCCCGAGCGCTGGCACTTCTACGACGCAGAGCGCCTGAGCGGGCTAGAGTTTGACCCCGACGCGGAGGCGGCAGACGCCGCAGAGGCCGCGAAGGCGGAAGGCTGGGACGGGGCCCCAGGCGAGGCGCCGCCAGCGGGCGCGGTGCAGCCAGACCTCCACGAGGAGCAGCGGCGTCGACGGCTCTGCGACCTCGCAGAGGCCCTGACGCGCATGCCGCTGGACCTCCGCACCGTGCAGCAGGCGATGCGCAGGCGAGGGTGCGAGCTGGGCCCGCCCGTCGAGCAGGCGGGCGCGAGCGACAGCGCCCGGGCCCTGCAGTTGCTGAGGGCGATCTGGCGCAGCGTCCTGCAGCTCGGGCCGCCAGGCGCCGAGGGCGAGGCAGAGGACCACCAGGACGACGTGCCCTTCGCGTCCCTGGGCGGCGACTCGACGCTCGCCGTGCAGCTCATCTCCATGGCGGCCCGCCACGGCCTGCAGCTGCCGCACGACCTCAATGTGGAGATGGCCACCATCGGGAAGCTGGCGCAGCGCTGCTCCGTCTGCGTGGGTGCCCCCTTGGCCCAGAGAGCTGGCGCAGGCGATGGATCTGGTGGGGCGCAGAAGGGCCTGCGCATACTCGAGCGCGACGGGCGCAACCCTTCAGGTGCCTTAAGCGCTCTGGGGGGTATCAGTGCCTGCGCGGAGGGCCGGCTTGAGGAGGCCCAGCAGCTGGCTGCCAGAGGGTGGCACCCAGCCTACGCTGTGGACAAGCACAGAAACACGGCGTTGATGTGGGCCTCTGGATGTGGCCATTTGCCCGTGGCGAGGTGGTTGCTCGAGGAGGTTGGGGTGGGCGTCGACGTCGGAAACAAGGACGGGCGTACGGCGCTGATGTGGGCCTGCAAGAACCGGCAGTTTGATTCCGCCGAGTATCTCCTCTATCAGGCTGGTGCAGACGTGTCCATCCGCATGAAGGACGACAGCAGTGCCTTCGACTGGGCCGTCCTTGGAGGAGATCTTCCGACCATGGAGCTGCTCGCATCCCATCCAGGAGTGGACATCAAGGCCCTGAACAAGTTTGGCTGTGCAGCGGTGCAGTGGGCAGCTGCCTCAGGAAATATCGAGACGTGCCGCTGGCTGCACAGCAAGGGCCTGGATTTCGCCCATCTGAACCAGGCGCGGCACGGGGCCGTCAACAAGGCTGCATGGAAGGGGCACCAGGACCTCCTGCACTGGCTCCTTGTGGACCCCGGCGGCCCCTTGCTGATCCCGCAGCTCCTCATGCCGGACCTCGACGGACGCTCCGTGGCGGAGCTCGCGCGCATGGGTGGGCACGCACAGGTGGCCAATTGGCTGGAGGAGCTGGCCGCGCACGCGCGGCGGCAGCTGGGCGCCGATGGAGGTTCAGACATGCTGGCGCCTGAGGAGGCTGCGCGGATGAAGAGCAGATGCCTCGCGAGGTAGGCGCGCGGCGAAAACAATACACTCGCAGATGCACCCCAGAGCCAGCAGAGCAGAACGCGCACCACACGGGCAACGGGCGAATCAGACACTGCACCATACAGCACCACGCGGGCAAAGGGCTCGACACTGCACAGCATGTCGCCGCACGGGCAACGGCTTCGACATGGCACCACTTGGGGTCTTTATGCGAGCAGTTGGTTCGACGCGGCACCACAAGGCACCACAGTGGCGACGGGTTTGGCGCGGCACCACGGCATCACGCGGGCAGTGGGTTTGACCTTGCACTTAACGGCATTGCGCAGCGTTGTGTTGCATGTTACGGCGCTACGCGGAACCAGATGGGCAATGGGTTCGACATTGTAGCACACGGCACAAGGTTGCCAATGGGTTTAAGAGTGATTTAGCCGCAGCGGGGTGCGGCACAGGGCTGGAGAAGTTGTGAGAAGCGAGGCGGTTTCTGAAACAGAAAGGCTGAACATGGAAAGATCATTCCAAGCGATGCAAAGTATCGGTGCAGGTCAGGACGGGAGAACTGAAATGATTCAGGTTAAGTAGTCGTAAGCGTAAAACAGAGAGGAGTAAAGAAATGCCAAGACTCTGATGAGGATGACCGTGCGACGTAAACACATCGAGAGAGTGCTATGTTTATATATTTGTGTGCGCCGAGAGAAATATCAGAAGGAAAGCGGGCAGGCAAAGACAAGCATACATACAAACATTGGTAGGCAGACAGAGACAGAGACAGAGATAGAGACCCACATTTGGATGAAGACTGTTCCTGTTCGCGCCTGCAGTGCCGCCGCGGACTATGGACACGGATGTGTCGCTTCCACCCTTTTCTCCATCCAAGAGTTTCACGGATGGAGGGCGGTTCCGTTTTCAAAATGCGGTTCTCGCCTTAGCGCCGCGCACATGCGGTTGAAACAAATGCAAGAGTGTCACGGATGGAGGGCGGTCCTTTTTCAAAATGTGATTATCGTTCCAGCGCCGCGCACTTTAGCTCTAAAAGTTCGCAAGAGCTTCATGGATGGAGGGCGGGTCGTTCTCAAAATGTGGTTCTCGCTTTAGCGCCGCGCACCTTCGTTTTAAGAGATTGCATCAGTGTCGAAGGTTTCTCATGGTTGACGTAACAGAAATGGCGTTTTGGCACGATGTCGAGTGGGAGTGTGGAGGGAGGGTGTCTTGCAATATAGTTGATGAGTCTTGGGTTTACACGCTGGTCCTTCTCCTCCTTTTCCTCTTCCTCCTCCTCCTCCTCCTCCTCCTACTACTACTACTACTACTACTACTACTACTATTACTACTATTACTACTACTACGACTACTACTACTACTACTACTACTACTACTACTACTACTACTACTACTACTACTACTACTACTACTACTACTACTACTACTACTACTACTACTCCTCTGCCATCCTCCTCCGCCTCTGCCATCCTCCTCCTGCTCATCCTCCTCTTCTTTCTCTTCTGTCCTCCTCCTCCTCCTCCTCCTCCTCCTCCCCCTCCGCTTCTGGCCCAAATGTGGGCTGCATTCTTGTTTGGCGTGCGGTATAACGGCCACGGAGGACCCGCGCCATTTAGCTTCTGAGTGCCGTACCCGCACCAAGAAGGGTCACGAGAACCTTCAGAGAATTCCGAAGGGTCTTTTCCCCCAGCCACCAGGGACCGTCCAAGGCGTCTCTGGCCAGGGAGTTGGGCATTGTCAGGCGGGAGGCCGTCCTCCGTGGGCCGCCGCCTGGGGTCCTCGTTGGCTAGTGCGCTACCACCACGTGGATACCAGCGAATTCCAGCGAATTCTCCTCCGCCTCCGCGTCCTTCTTCATGACCCGCTCATGGCGAGTCACTCCAGAGGACACCTCATGGGGCCGATGGCTCGAGATGCCCTCGTGTTTGGCAGGGGGGCCACAGGCGCCGCGGACTCACTAACCGCAGGAATCCCGCGATCTCGCAAAACCCTTCTCCTCTCATCGCGCGACCCCGCCCGGGCCATCCCCCCTCCTGCACGTCGCAAGTATTTCTTCTTCAGCGGCTGGTGGGCGATGGAGCGCGCAAGTGAGGAGGGAGGCGAAACGGGACCTGGAGATCCGACGTCGTGATTTTGTCCATACGGGGTCCATAGCAGTCCCGACCCTTTCCTCACAGTGGAAAGAAAAATCTGTGCAACAACAACCACCGAACCAAAAAGAGCCGAAGTGCCCCCTCAACCCCCATTGCCTTAACATTATCAGCTATTGCGTTCGGGATGTTGGGTTCAAGCTTTTTCAGGTCCCGCTTCTCCGGGAGCGCTGGTTGAAATATTACGGCCGGGGGCGTAGGGGGTCATGCGAAGTGGTTCCCCAATTCTTGTTACTAGATTTTTCCCTCAACGATAGGACCTGTCTTTCATCCTGAGTCGTTTTCGGACGGCCCCGGGGCCCGGCGAGGGCCCCCAGAGGCCAAGAATAGCAAGACACTTCCTGCCGTGATGTTTGCCACGACGCGAGGGGTCTGGCCCTGGAGCTGGAAAGTCGGCCCCCAGATCTCTCCTGGGGTGCGTCCTGACCAGAATTTGGAGGCGAACCCAGCCGTGGCGACGAGAAGCCCCCCGAGGCCCAGAAAGCCTCGATCCTCGAAGCTCGAAGTTCGAGATCGACCCGCCGAGATGTTTGACACGACGCGAGGGGGGAGGGGGGTCTGGAGGGAAGGCGGCGGACAGGGGCAGCAGGGAGGGCGACCAAGGGGACGGCCGGCAGGCGAGGCAGGCTCGCGCACGGGGGCCTGCGCACGGGGGCAGCCGTGGCCGGGGGAGGCCCAACGCTGGCCTCGCGGGAGCCGCCGCCGAGAAGGGCGGCGCGAGCCCATTCCTGGACGAGGACGCGCTGGCGGCCGCCTCCTCATTGCGCGTTCCGCATGCAGGCGCGGGGCTCGAGGTCGCAGCCCAGGAGGGGACCTGTCCATGGCAGCCGCCTGGGGACTCGATCTTCGGGGACCTCGGCAAGCGGTGGATACGGGTGTGTTCGGGACCTTTGGGGCGAAGTACATCCATATCCACCGCCCGCTGGGGTCCCAGGACATGGTTTCCGAGTTTGGCCGCCCCAGGACAATGCACACAGTGGTGATGAGCGGTCGAGGGGTCGATGAGAATCGTTGTAGGTTCAGGGATGATGAGGGTCCAGGGGTGATGGTTTGTAGAATGGCTTGTGCTTGCAAGTTTGTGGGTGTCGTTGCTGGGGCCAGGGGAGGAAAGGGGGAAAGGCGCCGCCCGCGGCCAGCAGAAGTCCGACCCCAAGGCTCACGATTCCGCCCCCTGTTGTCCTGACGGTGTCATCACGATGCTCGCGTCCCTTGCTTGTCGCCGTGGCGACTCACGCGCACCTATGGCGGGTCGCACGAGTGTTTTCTTGATCAGTTTTGGGCGTGCTTTGCCCAAGGCTTCTCAATGGAGGACGCTCCGAACTCTTGAGGGCACGGGCGAGCGGCACCGCCTTCGCTCAGCGCGGCCTGCCGCACACCTGCAGCAAGAACCCCTCGAGGCGAGCGGGAGCCACATCGAAGTCCCGATCGAATGCGCCGTTGTCCTGCCTAACGCCTGCTCCTCCGCCCTCTCCAACCTCCATCCATAGAGAGCGTTCCAGAGAGGGCCTCGCCTTCGAGGGACAAAGGAGTCGACATCGCCTCCTCGGAGGAAGGCGGCGGGAGGTCGGCAGAAGCTGGCGGAAGTGAAACGAGAGCGCCTCCACCGGCGGAAGTTGGCGGAAGGCCGGCGGAAGCAAAAGTTCCCCCCCCAAGAGATGACAACATTTTTTGAGTTGAGGATTCCTGGGGCCCGCCACATGTAGCCATTGATGGTCAAGTCGCTTTGGAGCCAGGGCTTGCGCGCCGCATGACCCATCCAGGGAGAGATTATGGACTGCCAGACCCGTTGTGCGATAATGCTGCTCACGAGCTTGGGGGCAACCACATCACCGCGGCCGAGTTCGACACCGTGAAGCCTGGCGAGCTGCAGCTGCAGAGGCTGCTCGGCAGCGGGTCGCAGGCCGACGTCTTCACGGCGGTGTGGGGTGTGGGCGCGGTGTTTCGTGGTTAGTTTAGTACAAGCTCGGCGTTGGCCGTTGCAAAGAGATGGCTGACAAGGACCAGAGCATTGCTTCTAGAGATCCCGAGACGCTAGGAGTCATGATTGGTCATCCAAACCTTGTCAAAGGGCTTGGCGCTACTGTGGATTTGCCGTGCTGGATCGTGCAAGGATTCTGTTCAGAGAGTAATCGGCTCGACCTTCTATACAATTCTGCATACGACATGTCGACCAGGCAGCATATCAACGCACTCATGGACGCGGCGGCTAGCTGGCTGATCTCGAGCGCGCGGATCGTGCCTCACGCCAATGTTGCCGATTTGGGTGCGTTGCGCTGTCGCCAAGATGCTCTGGGCAGCTTTTTTCAGGAGATGGCCATCGGCTTCGGCACGTGGCGGCGGATGGCCGAAAAGATCTTCGAGCCACAGGAGCAGGATCAATCGTACGACAGGCGGGTAGACTTGTTCTGCTTCGCAATGCTGACGTCCGAGGTTAGCTTGCGAAGGATCCCCTATTGCGACCGGTACCTGAGCGAATCACACGACCCCATGTTTGCCAGGTGCACGTGCTGTCATATTCTCAGGTGAGAACGGCCGCCCTTGGAGCACATGCCAGGTCTGTTCCAAGTTTGCGTCGCCAGAGCTGGGGGCACCAAGCTAGACCTGAGGCCCGCTATCGACGAGTTGATGAAACATATGCAAAACCAGTAGCGCGCTGTACCCCTGCAGGAATCAGACTTAGATTTGGGCAGCGACGTGTTAGGCTGCCAAATAATTTGTTGGGCTGCCCCGTCGTTGCATGAGCCGCTTGGACCAGCCGTCTTCGAGTCGAGTCGCGCCACCACACCATGAGCGACCCTCCCGTGAACCCTACACTCCTCCACAGGCACCGCGGCCGATCAAGTGGGGTGGCCGGGTCAGGCTGAGCTTTTCGCCGCAAGCCACACGGAAGAAGTTTTGTTTGCCACTCTGCCCGGGCGCCAGGTGGCCACTGGCAGTTGGGTGCCCATCGGCGCCGCTGGGCGGGACACATTTCCACGAAACGCCAGAGCGGATGTTGGCCGAGGAGCGGCCGCTCCCGCCAGACCTGCGCGATCCCAGCGCTGACTCCCAGTGGCATCACAGACGGCAGTTGCTAAGACCAGGGCCCACATTGCTCCCTCAGCGTGTCCTCCCCTGTCTCGCGAGTGGCGGCGGGTGGTTGGCAACTCTTGCGGTGACAGGGAGGCCCAGGCTGGGGCCCTACGCCACAACCAGGCATCGGCTTTGGAGATGGAGGCCCTTTGTTTCAAAGCCTGTCGGCCTTCTCAAGAATTTAACGTACGTCTTTCTTGCCCTTCTGGAACGGGGCAGCATTGAATCCTTTTCACGCGGCGCAAAGGGGCGAAAGGGCGACTGGACAGGCGGACCTTTCCGAAGCCCAAGTAGATTCTGTGAAGTGGCACGGAGGTAGCACAAGAGGTACTGGGGTTGACCAGCCAGGGGTCCGAACGCCTTGTTCAGCCCCCTCCCCATGACGTCAGCCGCGCCGATGCCGTACCCTTCTATTCCTGCGCCGCCGCTCCTCCTTCCTCCTCCGCCTCCTCCATCCTTTTTTTCCTTCGCCAGAGTGTACAGCAGCCCTCGAGCTCGTATGTCTGCTAGTTCTGACCCGTCGCAAGGTTGAGTTGTCGGGTCCGTTCGGCCAAGTGGCGCGTAACCCTGCGCCGGGCCGCCGCCCGTGCTACGTCGCCGGGCGCGCCTCCTTACAGGCAACTCGCGACGAAGGACGACGACAACACCATTATTTTCAGCGAGTCATCGAGCAGTTCACGGGTATGATGCGAGACCTTACCGTTGCAATCGAAGATATTGGGTTTCGTTGGAAAGCCGCTTCGTTGGAATACATGTTGCGCGGTTGAGCAGCAGGCCGTACAATTCTCCAGCACCACGTTTCTAAATCAAGTCCAGCACATGTTGCTTTCGGATATGACCTAATATTCAAGGAGATACTGGAGTCAGTTTGCAACACATTCTGTCGAAGGGAGGAGCTTGTTTATGAAAGCACTACCGCATCTTGAGTGAGCGCGGGCCTGTATCATATAACTTACGTGCGTGGTCGACGGCCCCCGCGGCATCCAGCTTGTTATGGTGCGGGTCTTTGCACAGATCCAAACACCACCTGGTCCGTCTGCGTCATTGGGAGACTGGTATGCTCCGTAAGGTTTTCCGGCTGCGGCGGCATCCTAATCCTAATCAAAGGCATATGTCTTACAGTCTTCGCACTTCGCACATGATTCAAAATTGGTTTGTTGAGCATGGCCATGCTCCTATTCATCACCATCTTCGACGAGGCGCGGCGGGAACGGCAGCTTACATCGCTCATTGGGGAAAACGATCTAGCGCTGGCAAGGGTTTACCGCAACAGGCTCTTTTGGGAAAGCGCCAAAGATTTCGAAACGCAGCGCCGCGCAGAAGGCATCGCGCATGCGGGATTCGGCTACAGGCGCGAGCGCGGGGGGCATTTCTGCACGGCCTTCGGCAGGCGCGATTCACATGAGTCTTGGAAGAAGCGTATTGACGCATATTAGATTTGATTTGCGCGCAGTGACGGCTGCCTAAACATGGCCAACGGGCAGAAGGCGCCCATGCAGACATCCCGGACGGCCTCTACGAGCGCAGAAATATTCTTAATCGTAGCTTGGATGGGGGCCCAGAACAACGTGGAGACGAACCACCTGTCAGTGAGATTCACCGCAAATGCAATTGCGTCGTTTTCGTGGTAGACTGTGAGCTTATAGCTAAAGTGGCACGGGGGCACGCGCCGTCGAATACATCGGGGCTCACACCGGCGCGCGAAAGGATCACCGGCCAGCTTTTCAAGTTAATTGACGCGGGATGGTCTCCAGCGTCTGAGGCTGGAGATTCCATCTTATGGCATCGCCGCGAAAACAATCGCATCGCTGATTGTCCTTTAATCACACCATGGATGCAGGCACTGGCTGGCGGAAAGACGGTTCGCCCACCCGGGGAGATCTCAGTGCGTTCGAAGCCAACGTCGCCATTCCTTATGATTGTGGGGGCACACGCGCAGACTCCTGTTCAGCTGGGCCTGGTTCGCCGAAGCGGTGGTCTTGCGCGACGGCCATCGCCGCATTGCGGCTGCTTTCAGGCTCGGGCAGGCCCGGGTGAGCGCCCCCAACCCGAGCCAGGCGAGGAGGCCCCCACCGCGCGCGGCCGCCGCCTCGCAGCGCTTTCCACGCAGCGCGCGCGCGGGCGGCGGCCCGCGCGGATGTGGGGGGGAAGCGCTTCGCTTGCCCGCGCGCGCGGGCGCGTTGATTGATTTCTGTTCTTCGCGATTTGAGGTTTGTCTTTCCTGTGCACGCATCGCCGCCATGGACGCCGAACTCGCTGCTCTCGCCCAGAGAGCGCCGCCGGATGAGCGCGGCGCCCTGGAAGGACTCGCGGCGACTGACGGCCTAGAGTCGCTCGCGGACTTCGCCTACCTGTTCGCTTCCGAACGGGGCGCCGCGGCGCGCGGGGTCGAGGGCGCGCGGGTCGCCGCCCGGGCAAGCGCGAGCTCGTGCGCTGCGAGCATCAGCGCTTGCGCCCGCTCGGCCCAACGGCCCGCGCCTGCTCGGCCGGCGCCCCGGCCCGCGCCGGCGCCGCCTGCGCAACCCGCGGCCGCCGGCGCGCGCAATTACCCGCGGCCGCGGGCGCGGCGCCGGACAACCGAGGAGGAGGATCGAAGAGCCAGGCGCGACGCCGCCGCGGAAGTGGCGCAGCTGGCCGCCGCATGGCGCGCGGACCTCGACGACCG